TGGGCACACACGCACACACACCCGGCATGAGTTTTAAGCCACCGGGTCCGGGACGCAAACCACGGTCAACTACATGGGAGTCCAGCGACATAGCCACTACACTAACTGCTGGTTCCCAATGTCTAGCATGAGTTTTAAGCCACCAGACACTACGATCAACTACACGGTAGTCCAACATCATAACCATTACACCATCTGCTGGTCTCTATTTTTTATTAATTTTTTTTGAGAAGTTTTTGCTATAGGGCATGTGCGCTTGCCAGAAAGACAGAGAGAGACAGAGACAGAAAGCGAGAAATCACCCCCCAGGGGGGATGACCATGCCAAAATCCCTTCTCCTCCATTCTCCTCTTGGGATCTTGGGCACGCACACACACGTGCCCAGTGTGAGTTTAAGCCACAGGTGTCCAGGACTTGAACCCGGTCAACTACATGGGAGTCCAGCAACATAGCCATTACGCCAACTGCTGGTCCCTCTAATTTTTTTTTTTAAGATGTTTTTGCTGGGGCCAGCAGGTGGCACGGTGGTTAAGGGCACTGGACTCCCATATTGCTGTGGTTCGAGTCCCAGATCTGGCAACTTGCTTTCTCCTTTCCCTCTCTTTCTCTCTCACTCTGTTCCTCTTTGGTCAAATTTTAAATATGTACATGCATTCAATAAAATAATTCTTTAAAAAAAGAGATTTTTTTGCTTTAGGATGTGCACAGTCACTGAAAGAGAGACAGAGACAGTGAGAGGGGAAAGTGAGAAATTACCCCCCCAGGCGGATGACCACTCCACAATCATTTCTACTCCATTTCCCACCCAGGATCTTAGGGCACACATGCATACCCAGAGTGATTTGGAAGCCACCAGATCTGAGACTTGAACCATGGTCAGCCATGTGGGAGTCCAGCAACGTAACCATTACGCCATCTGCTAGTCCCAAAGTACAATTAATTTAAAAAGTGATTCAACTTTTGGTCTTTGCTCTCCCACCGAACTTCTTTTCCTTTATTTAAATTTGTTTTTCGGGGCCAGCAGGTGGCATGGTGGTTGACGTGCTGGACTCCCACATGGCCAACCACGGTTCAAGTTCCAGACCTGGTAGCTTACTCTCCCACTTTCCCTTTCTCTCTCTCTGGTCAGATTAAAAAATAATAATAATAACAAAATTAAGTAATTCTTTTTTTAAAAAGGAAGCATTTTTAAAATAATTATTTTATTTAAGTTTTAAATTTATTTAAATTTGACCACAGAGGGACAGAATGAGAATAAGAGAGAGAGGGAAAGTGAGAGAGAAAGCCACCAAGTCCAGAACTTGAACAGCAGTTGGCCATCCACCACACCACCTGCCAGTCCTTCCCACTAAAGATTTCTGTGGGGTGGTGGTGGTCAAGGTAGGTGGCATGGTGGTCAAGTCACTGAATCCCATGTGGTCCACTGTGTGGTTTGAGTCCTGGACTGGTTGGCCTGAAAACCATACTGTGCACATGTGTGTATGTACTCAGAATCCCAAGAGAAGAAGAAATTATGGCGTGACCATCCACCCTTAGCGTTGCTTTCTCACTTTCTCTATCTATCTCTGGCAAGCACATACACCCTATAGCAAAAACATATATATACTGGGACCAGCAGATGGCATAATGGTTACATCGCTGGACTCTCATGTAGTCAACCATGGTTTAAGTCCCAGACTGTGCAGCTTAAAACTCACAGCAACACATTTATGTGTGTGCTTGAGATGCCAAGAGGAGAATGGAGGAGAAGGGATTGTGGTGTGGCCATTTCCCTTAGGGGTGATTTCTCACTTTCTGTCTGACAAGCACATGCACCCTATAGCAGAAATCTCTCAAAAAAATACATATTTTGTGAAAAAAAATTATTCTTTTTAGTCTCTCTTATACCTACATTCTTTTGAAAGAGAGAGATTTTTGCTATTGGGCACACATGCTTGCCAGAGAGAGGCAGAAGGTGAGAAATCACTCCCCAGGGGGGGATGGCCACACCCTAATCCCTTCTCCATTCTCCTCTTGGGATCTTGGGCACACACGCACACGTGCCCGGTGTGAGTTTAAGTCACCGGGTCCAGGACTCGAACCATGGTCGACTACATGGGAGTCCAGCGACATAGCCATTATGCTAAGTGCTGGTCTCCTGGTGTGAGTTTTAAGCTGCTGGGTCTAGGATTGAAGCCATGGTTGACGATGTGGGAGTCTAGCGAAGTAGTCATTATGTTATCTGCTGGTCCCTCCTTGCTTTTTTTAAAGTTTCTTTCTCTCCTTTCTTTCGAAGAATTATTTAATTAAATTAATTAATTAATTTTAATTTGACCAGAGAGGAACAGAGTGAGAGAGAGAGAGAGGGAAAGTGAGAAAGCAAGCCGCCAGATCTGGCACTCGAACATGGTCGGCCATGTGGGAGTCCAGCACCCCTAGTCACCACACCACCTCCAGCCTCAAAAGTCTCTTTCTTTCTTTGATGAGAGAAAGAGGTTCCCCCAACAGGGTCTCACACTGCAACCCTCCCCCAGCCTTGTACGTGCTCCCAACATATACATATGATCAACCTGGGAGCCAAGTCTTGATCTTCCACATGGCTTCCAGCATCACAGAGAGACGTACTATTACCATGCCAATACGGTCAGCCATACCGCCTTTTTTTAGAGGTTTTTGCTATACAGAGTGTGCGCTCGCCAGAAAGACAGACAGAAACAGAGAGACAGAAAGTGAGAAATCACCTTCCCCCCAGGGGGATGGCCACATCACAATTCCTTCTCCTCCACTCTTCTCTCAGGATCTTGGGCACGCACGCACATGTGCCCGGCCTGAGTTTAAATCACCAGGTCCAGGAACTACGTGGGAGTCCAGTGACATAGCCATTATGCCAACTGCTAGTCCCCCATATCTGCTTTTTAATTAAAATTAAAGTTCTCCATTATTGGTTGATAGGCAATAAACTTTAAAATGTGCCAAAACAATATAGTTGAAATTTAAGTTTTATTATTTTCCTATTACAAAAGTAATGCATATTCATTACATAATTAGAGAAGGCAAGCACAAAAGGTACAAAGGAGTTGATTTAAAACTGCCTACTAGCCCACAGAGAGCTTAACCCTGGCATATTTCATGAATATTTTCCTATGTACTTTTGAACACAGCACAGATAACCATATATATCAAGTCTTACATCCAGCTTTTCCAAAGTAACATATTCAAGTTCTCATAGCAACACAAATTCTCCGTGTAAACACAATTTGAATGGCTGAGTAACATTCTATCATATTGCTATATTAGAGCTTCTTTTCAACATTTCTTCCCATAGCAATATTTAGTTAGGAGAGCTAACTAAAAGGCACGCCATTTCCTAAGAAGGCTTTCCTTGAGAACACGGGAAGGACAGAGGGCTCCCGTGGGGTGGGGGCGGTGTCGGGGCCACAGTGGGCAGGAGGAGGCTCACAGGTCCTGGCCCAGGCGCTCCAGCTCACTGAGGAGGAAGTCCATGTCAGCCCGGGTCTGGGCAGGGTTGGCCACGACCATGCGGAAGAAGTTGCCCTGGCCCCCACGGGGCTGGTAGCCGATCATCATGGAGCCCTCCTTCACCATGCGTTCCTTGAGCACAGGGGCCACCTGTGGGAGTGGTGGGCAGCAAGTCCAGCTGCCGCTCGGGGCCAGGTAGGGGCGGGCTGCCACCAGAGGCCTCCTCCCTCCCAGCCAGCCACCTTCAAGAGGGAGCGCTCACCACTCTAACCCTGACCTTGGCCTCAGTTTACCTTTCCCACCGCAGCTTGGCCCTCTCAACCTGTGGCTGAATGCTAGTTCTCCTGTCTCTAAGAAAGCTTCCACGTGGGCTGTTCGCTGCCAAATTCTGACTTTTTCCGAATTCCCAACACTGCTTTAGTGTAAATTCACTATTTAGTCATCCTTAACACCTTCTTCTCCCCTCTCTTAATTCCTGTAATATTTTTGATCCATGCCCTGAGAACTGGCATGTCATTTACAAAACTGCCTTGAACACACCGGTTTAAAAGAAGTAACTTCTGTTTTCTAAAGAACAGCTCCATGAGGACAATGACGTCCTTGTACCTGTAAGCATCGGCAGCACCTTGTGCCCATCTATCCTCAGGACCAGACGTACCGCAGGTCCTAGCCGCGAGCGGGGCGGAACTGTACTGCCCTCCGCATTCGTGACCTCTCTGCCTCACATCTCTGTCCTGGGCCTGAGCTCCTAACACAGCAGTCTGTATCCTGCGCCCTGGGGCCTTCTCCTGTAATGCTCCTTTTGTTTTATTCTTACTTCTTATTAATATACCTTGGTCCCCGTCCCCATCACCACAGAGAACACAAGTTGGTGTCTTAAAGTTAATGTTCCCACCTCAGGAGCAAGAGACCAGCAAAGACCTGCCATACCAAGTAGAGCCAGCAGGGGGCGGACACGCACCAGCTGATCAGTTCCCTAAACCGCTTACCCGGACAGGAGAGCCTACCTTAGACAGCCTTTCCATGTAATCAGGACTCTCCTGCTTTCCCCGCAGGCTGGGGGGCACGAACCAGAAACACACGTTGACAAATTCGGGCTGAGGGAATGAGGAAGGGAAGTATGAACTGAGGAAGGCGGGTTGTCTGCCCTCTCACCGCCCCTCTTCCTCCTTCAGGGCTCTGGAGTATGGGACTGGCAGGGGCTGGGGGATGCAAAGGAGCAGAGTCACACCTCCATGACCAACTCAAAGCCTTCCCGCTTCTTTATTTCTTCCACCAGGTACCTGGGAACAGAGAATGAGATATAGACGGAGGAGGAAAGTCACAGAGACAGGAAATGCACAGACCGAGTCATCCTTAACACTGTCCTCTCCCCTCTCTTAATTCCTGTAATATTTTTGATCTATGCCCTGAGAACTGGCATGTCATTTACAAAACTGCCTTGAACACACCGGTTTACAAGAGATCATTCCTGTTTTCTGAATGAGCTCCAAGAAAGAATGTGCCAGAACGACACTGAGAGAGGAGGAAAAAGAGGGAGGGTGTGGGCTCCAGGAGAGGGGAGCCAGGACCCCTCCATGCCTACCGGGCAAGGGCAAAGGCCCGATCCACACGCCGTTCCAGCCCTTGCCCGCCCTGAGCCTTCCACATGAGCCACAGCTTCAGGCAGTCCACGCGGCGGCCACACTGCACCACCTTGTCTCCCGTGTCTAGAGCTACATCGTAGAACTTGTCCTGCTGGAAAAGGTAGCTGGCCTGGGACCCATGGCAGCGCTTGAGCAGGTTCTGTGTGGGGGCGAGGAGACGGTCAGTCCCTTCCTCTCAACCAAAGCTTTCTCTGGGCTGCTCTAGTGTGTGTGTGTTTGTGGGGGTCCTGAGCTCATGCACCCTCTTCCTTCCCTGGAAGCAGGCAGTGTTGCTGTGCGGCTGACAGCAGACTCAGACCCCTTTGGGTTTTCTCCCAGTGCCCAGGGTTATTCCCGGCTGGGCCCAGAATCTCTCTGACTGTCACTTCAAGCTGAAAACATTTTCCTTTGCAGGATGATGGCCACTGGGGAAATAAGGGAACCCACTGGAAGGGGTGAACACAGCTTCAGGTGAAATGGTGAAGAGAACACAGTAAGGCCTGGCCCCTCTACGTAGCACAGAGAAGACAGAGCTCCAGAGAGAGAGGTGGGACTGGGGCAGACGCACCGTGGTGTCCCGGAGGAGAAGGGCGGAGCACTGCAGGCCTGCTGTCAGGAGCTTATGGGGGTTCCAGGCCACCGAGTCGACCCTAGTGAGGCAGAGCAGTCAGGTCAGTGCCTCCTCCTCCAGCTGCCCAGTTAGGGCCTCACCTGCTCTTCCACACGCGAGTAAAAGGCTTGGGCCTCTCCACCGCCCCACGGTCAGGAAGAATCCCCATGGCTGATCTCCCAGCCCCGATCAACTATTTCTCTAGTCTCCCTTCCACTCCTTCCCCCACACCACCGTCCTAACTTCCTGGTCCATGACTGTTCTCTGGATCAAAGATGTGAAGGGCAGGATTCAGGAAGAAGGGGGCTGTATGTACCTCTGGATCCCATCCAGGAGATGCCTGTGTGTCCGTGACAGCAGGACGCTCCCACCCCAGGCAGCCTGTGAAGCAGGAAGAACAATGTGGACCTTGGCCTCTGCTCAGCCCACCCCCTTCCACCCCCAGGCCCAAGTCCCACTCACATCCACATGCAGCCACAGCCCATGACGCTGGCACACGTTGGCAATTGCATCCAGGGGGTCAAAGGCCCCCAGAACGGTGGTGCCAGAGGTGGCGCTGACCAGGAACGGCACAGCACCCTGTTGTAAGAATGCAGAGAGAGAAGCTGAGGGATTGTCTCTAAAGCCACCGGCAGCCTGGTACTCGGACCCAGTCCTAAGCTCTCCGCATGTCCTATCTGGCCCATTTCGACCTCCTAACAGCGTGCCACTGTTCTCTTTAACTTAAAGGCAGGGACAAGAAGATTCAGGGATCTAAGTAAAAGCTCCAGAAATGGAATTCAAACCTAGGTCTCTTTCCGAAGCACTTTAAAAAAATTTAAATTTAACTTTATTTAATTTAAATTTGGACCACAGGGGGACAGAGTAAGCGAGAGAGAGAGAGAGAGAGAGGGAAAGTGAGAAAGCAAGCTGCCAGGCCTGGGACTCAAATCATGGTCAGCCATGTGGGAGTCCAGCACCCTTAACCACCATGCCACCTGCAGCCCCAGGCTCTTTTAAAAAAATTTAAATATTGGGCCAGCAGGTAATGTGGTATTTAAAGTGCTGGATTCCCAAATAGCCAATCACAGCTTAAGTCCCAGAACCCCATGGCTTGAAAATCACACCGGCTCATGTGAGTGCATGCTCAAAATCCTAAGGGGAGAATGGAGAAGGGATTGTGGCGTGGCCATCCACTCTAGGGGGTGATTTCTCACTTTCCCTTGGTCTGTCTGTCTTTCTAGCAAGTACATACACTCTGTGGCAGAGACCTAAAAAGAAAAAATGTTAATATATGTCTAGAAGATTAAAAATGCTATTTTAAAAATTGAAATGGCACAGAAGTTTATGCAGAAATTGAATAAGTGAGTATAAAACTACCCACAAAGAGAAAGTGCAAGTTCAGGTGGTTTCACTGATTAATTCCTTTTTTGAAAAGAATTATTCATTTAGCTTTATTTATTTATTCATTTATTTATTTTAATTTGACCAGAGAAGGACAGAGAGAGAGGGAAAGTGAGAAAGCAAGTCACCAGGTCCAGGACTTGAACCGTGGTAGGCAATGTGGGAGTCCAATGGCCTTAACCACCACATGACTTACTGGTCCCTACACTGATGAATTTGTCAAACATTTAAAGAAAAACTGATAGCAGTTTACAAATTTCCAAAAAACAGAATATACAAAAATCCATTTTATGTCTATACATTAGCAATGAACCACCTAAAAATAAAATCAAAACAGTTTTCTTTTTATTTTTGGGGGGAGAGATTTTTCGCTATAGGGCGCGTGCGCTTGCCAGACAGACAGAGAGAGACATAGAGACAGAAAGTGAGAAATCACCCCCCAGGGGGGATGGTCACGCCGCAATCCCTTCTCCTCCATTCTCCTCTCAGGATCTTGGGCATGCGTGCACACGCGCCCGGCGTGAGTTTTAAGCCACCGGGTCCGGGACGCGAACCGTGGTCGACTATGTGGGAGTCCAGCGACATAGCTATTACGCCAACTGCTGGTTCCCAAAACAGTTTTCTTTACAAGAATATCAAAAAGAATAAAATACTTCAGGATAAATTTAAGAAAAGAAATGTAAAACGTATGCTCTGAAAATGACAAAACATTGTAAAAAGAAATAAAAGAAGAAAAAAAAAAAAAAAAAACGCTGCATGTCCATAGATCTACAGGTTAAAATATAATCAATATTAAAATCCCAGTAGGCTTCTTTGAATAAACTGATAAGCTGATTCTAAATTCATATGGACATTCAGGAGACCCAGACTAGCCAAAGTCATCCTGAAAAAGAGCAAAGTTAGAGGACCTGCACTTCCCAGTTTCAGAGCTTTTAGTACTTACATTTTCTTAAATGGGCAAAGAATCTGAACAGACATTTCCCCAAAGAAGATACACAATGGCTAATAAGCACATGGAACGATGTTCTGTATCACTAATCATTAGGGGATGCAAATCAAAATTACAATGAGATACTGCTTCACACACATCAGGATTAGCTACTATCAAAATGACAGGGAATTGGGACCAGCAGTTAGCGTAATGGCTCTGTTGCTGGACTCCCATGTAGTCAACCGTGGTTTGAGTCCCTGACCCGGTGGCTTAAAACTCACACCGGGCGCATGTGCGTGCGTGCCCAAGATGCCGAGAGGAGAATGGAGAAGGGACTGTGGTGTGGCCATGTCCTCTGGAGGGTGATTTCTCACTTTCTGTCTCTTTGTCTCTCTCTGTCTTTCTGGTGAGCGCACCCACCCTATAGCAAAAACCTCTCCAAAAACAAAAACAAAACAGGAAATAGCAAGTGTTGGGACAGGCAGGTGGCATGGTGGTTAAAGGCAATGGACTCCCACATGGTTGGCCACGGTTCAAATCCTGGACCTGGGGACCAGCAGTTAGCATAATGGCTATGTCACTGGACTCCCACGTAGTCGACCGTGGTTCAAGTCCTGGACCTGGTGGCTTAAACTCATGCAAGGCACGTGTGTGTGTGTGCCCAAGATCCCAAGAGGAGAATGAAGGAGAAGGGATTGCAGTGTGGCCATCCCCCCTGGGGGGTGATTTCTCGCTTTCTGTCTCTCTGGTGAGTGCATGTGCCCTATAGCAAAAATCTCTCCAAAAAAAAAAAAAAAATAATAATAATAATAATAAATAAAGCTAAATAAAATAATTTTAAAAAGAAAATAGCAAGCGTTGGCAGGATGTGGAGAAATTAGAATTCTTGTATTTTGTTGGTGAGAATGTAAAATGGTACAGCAGCTATAGAAAACAATATGGTTGGGACCAGCAGTTAGCATAATGGCTATGTCACTGGACTCCCATGTAATCTACCGTGGTTCGCGTCCCAGACCCAGTGGCTTAAAACTCACCCCGGGCATATGTGCGTGCGTGCCCAAGATCCCAAGAGAAGAATGGAGGAGAAGGGATTGCGGCGTGGCCATCCCCTCTGGGGGGTGATTTCTCACTTTCTGTCTCTCTTTCTCTCTTTCTGTCTCTCTTTCTCTCTCTGTCTGTCTGGCGAGCGCATGCGCCCCATAGATATCTAAAAAAAAAGAAAAGAAAAGAAAGAAAGTAAGAAAGAAAACAATATGGTAGTTCCTGAAAAAAATTAAAACTATAACTACCATATGTTCTGGTGGTTTTGCTTCTAGGTATATATCCATAAAGATTGACAGCAGGGTCTCAAAGAGAGCCATGTTCATAGCAGTGCTACTCATGATAGCCGTGGTCCATCCACGGATGAATGGATAATCAAAATGTGGTAAATAATATATACTCTATGGAATATTACTCAGCCAAAAAAATAATAAGACCCTGGCATTTGATAGAAAGTGGTCAGATATGGAGGATCTATTGCTGAGTGAAGTAAGCCAGGCTATGAAAGAAAGATACTGTATGTATCCACTCTATATATACCGACTATCTGCACTCTATGGTAGAGGGTGAAATATTGGAGGACATAAAAGCAGTGAAGGTACGTAATGAGAATAGGACCGTGTGGAATGGGGGAGGAGAAGAGAAGAGGATAGAGAAAGATAGCAAGAGAACAAATAGAGAGGCAGGACGGTAGTGAGAAACAGATATGGCTTATTACCTGTTGATGATGACATGTATAGTATAGTATAGTATAGTCTAGTATAGTCTGAGAAGTATTTCATGATGGGTAAAGTCTTTTTACAAGCAAAATGAGAAATACTGATTGACTGTTTAAAAAAATCATTTTAATATAATGATTGGGAAAAACAATGAAAAGATACTGAATGATGAAGTGGGGATTTTAATGTCTCTGTATTGACTGACATGCATGGCATTCCCTTTTGAAAAAGCAGTGTAATACACTGTAAAGTTATGTGCAATTCAATGTAATATAGACAAGATTATGATGATAATAAATAAATTAATAAATAAATAGAAATAAACGCTAAAAAAAATGTGGTAAATACATACAGTGGAATGCTATTAAGCCTTAAAAAGGAAGGAAATTCTGACATACAGTACAATATGGATAACCATGGGACCAGCAGTTGGTGCAATGGCTATGTTGCTGGACTCCCATGTAGCCAAGGTTCAAGTCCCAGACCGGTAGCTTAAACATACGCCAGGCACATGTGCGTGCGTGATTTCTCACTTTCTGTCTCTCTGTCTGTCTTTCTGGTTAGCGCACATGCCCTATAGCAAAAATCTCTCCAAAAAAAAATAATAATTATGGATGACCTTTGAGACATTACGCTAAATGAAATAAGCCAATCAAAAAGACAAATACTATCACGATCTACTTATGTGAAATACTTAGGATAGTCAAAGTCATAGAGACAGAAAGTAGAATGGGTTGCCAATGACTGGAGGAGCGAGTGGGAGTTATTATTTAATGGGTGCAGAGTTTCAGTTTTACACGATGAAAAGCGTTCTGGAGACTGGCTGCACAACAATGTGAAGGCACTTAGCACAAAGAAGAACTAGCAGGGAACCAACAGTTAGCGTAATGGCTATGTCGCTGGTCGATTGTGGTTCGCGTCCTAGACCCAGTGGCTTAAAACTCACGCTGGGCGCGTGTGCGTGCGTGCCCAAGATCCCGAGAGGAGAATGGAGGAGAAGGGATTGTGGCGTGACCATCCCCCTGGGGGGTGATTTCTCACTTTCTGTCTCTATGTCTTTTTCTGTCTGTCTGGCGAGCGCACGCACCCTGTAGCGAAAACCTCTCAAAAAAAAAAAAAAAGAAGAAGAAGAAGAAGAACTAGCAGCAGATTCTCCATAGGGATCCTATCAGTGTGTTGGGTGGAAGAATTCTTTTTCTCGTAGGCATATCTCAGCACACTATAGGATGTTTAGCATCCCTGGCCCTCACCATAAATGCATTAGAGTCATTGTCACAAAACCAAGCAACATAGAACAGCTTCACATGTTTCCAAAGGTGCCCTCAATGACTGGGAAAGTGAGAGTAGATGGCAGCTAACATTCTATGGCTTCTACGTAAGCTTAGACATGCCCACCATCCTTCAAGCCTCAGCTCAACCATCACTTTCGAGGGAAGCCTTCCTCAACTCCCTCACCTCCTAATTAGGTTAAGTCTCCTGTATCACACCGTCAAAGAGCACCATGTGCGAGCACCATACCACATACGGAGCTGGTTGTTGTTGTTGTTGTTGTTGTTGTTTTGGAGAGGTTTTTTTGCTATAGGGCATGTGCCCTCGCCAGAAAGACAGAGAGAGACAGGAAACGAGAAATCACCCCCCAGGGGGGATGGCCACACCGCAATCCCTTCTCCTCCCTTCTCCTCTCGGGATCTTGGGCATGCACGCACACACACCTGGTGTGAGTTTAAGCCCCCCGGGTCCAGGACTCAAACTGCGGTCAACTGCATGAGAGTTCTGCGACATAGCCATTATGCTAACTGCTCGTCACCATATGGAGCTGTTTTACATGTATTTATGAATGTCAGTCTTCCCTACTGAAGAAAGAAAAGGTTTATGAGACAAAGGAAATAGGCAAAAGATCTGAATAGATACTACTCCAAAGGAGATGTACAAGATGCTTTTACTATCTATCATCCGGCATCAGAGAAATGCAAATTAAACCACACTAGATACCACTAATACCTAGTGAGATACCATTGAGAGGTAGTAATCCAAAAGAGACAGTGAGTGGGAAACTGGAACCCTCGTACACACTACACTTCAGGCCCAACCGCTCCCTATGCGCTGCCTGGGGCTCCCTCAGGGACTCAGTCCTCCCGCTCAGAATCTGCAGAACCCCCAGGAGAATGTAGTGTTCTCGCCCCTCAGGCTCCACAGAGATCAAGGACCGAGGGATTGAGACGGGCAAGGAGGTCAAGAAGAGAGATGGAGGGTCTTCTGAGAAGGGGCAGCCCAAACACCCCACGAGAAGGAGATGGGGGTGGGAGGGGGCCCCACTCCACCACCCCTTGCCCCTCATTCACCCACCTCAGCCTCAGCCAGACTGATCTGTCTCTCCAGATCCTCGGGAATCATTCTCCCGCTGAAAAGGAAAACGGAGTCAGCAGAGGATTAACAAGAGCTCTAGGCCGGCGGGTGTTAGCCTTTGGAAGCAGGGTAAGGTGGGGTTAGCAAAACAGGCCATCATGCTGGTTTTGCCCCTGAAGAAGTGAAACAGCTCTCGGGGCTCCAGCAGGAGCAGCAATTCTGCAGGAACGGCGAGGGAACAGAAGTTCATCAAGGGCATGGGCCTGAGGCCAGAGCTTCTGGTGGCAGAAGGTACCCTGTGCCAAGCTGGGTCAGAGCCAGGTGGGCAGAAGGACCTTCACCTCTCATCAGCCTTGACCACTCGGACACTGTCGGTGCCAAGTCCCAGAAAAGCAGCTCCCTTCTTGATGGAGTAGTGACACTGTGGGGGAAGGCAGAGGGCAGGTTAGCACAATCTGGGCCAGGGGCCAGGAGCAGGGAGCATGGGAAGAGAGACTGGGAAAAGCCAGCGCAAACCCGAAAGATGGGCCCTGTAGATCAGGGCTTCTCAAACGTCACATGGACACAAATCGGCGAACAGTTAGTTAAATGCAGCTTCAGCTTCTGGAAGTCTGACATGGAACCCGAGATTCTACACCAGCTCCAGGTGATAGCAATGCTGCACAGACCACATCCCCAGCAGGACCAGGGCCCGCGCCCTCTCCAGCCCCCAACAGAAGGGAAAGGGAGCAGGAGTGCTTATTCTGCCTCCCTGACTGGAGAAGGCCTGGGGGTAGGTGGCCTCCAGGATACCGGTGGGGCCTGGAGGAGATGTGCAGGGTCTCTCACCCAGCAGGCTAGATGTGGATCAGGGGCCCGGGGCGGGACTAGGCCTCCTCCTCACCTCCTCTGATGAGAAGAGGGCCAGGGGCGGCAGTGCCCGGAGGCCCCTCTGCTTGCAGTCGGGGTAGCGCTGATAGCGGGCCAGGTTCACAGCGTACATGTTGGAGATGGAGCCACCTGTCACAGGGAGCGGGTGGTGGGAAAAGGAGGGGCGGCAGGTCAAGAGTAGAGCTGGCCTCCCCTGACCTTCCTACCTAGAAGAATTGATCAAAGAAGCAGATATGACCCACTCTAGGCCAAGAACTTTCAGGGCTCTGGGAATGACACAATAGCCCAGAACAGCCCAGAATCCCCACCACCTCCCTCAGACCCTGGGCTGCCTCTGGAGACAGCTCCTGCCCAGGGGAGGGCAGGCACTGGAGTACAGATGCCAGGGACTGTTGGCAAATGGGGGACAAACGGGACTGGGCGGTCCCCTCCCTGAACTGGGCTCAGCCCAGCTGTACAGGACACGAAGAGGAACGGCCCCTCCTTGCAAGCTGCTTAGAGGGAGAGAACTGAGGAGGAAGAGAAGGTGGAAGAAAGTGCCCCCTAGCGTCCCATCCTCTCACATACCAGGGCAGAAGACCCCGTCCCCAGAGTCCCAGCCCACCAGGGCCCGCAGCTGTTTCAGCACTTCCTCTTCCATGAGCACAAACACAGGGGCGATTTCATACGTGTACCTGTCAGGAGAGGGACCGATGGGACAGGGCCGAGATAGGGAGGGGCTGCCAGGTGAGGCCCTCGACTCCAGAGGGGTAGGAGAGAGGGGGTGGTGAGAATGACAAAGAACAGGGGAAGCGAATGAGGAAGACATGGGGTCAGGAGGCACAAAGGTGGGAGAACGGGGCGCAAAGGACGAGAGGGAAATGCTACCCGTAGAGATTCCCGGGAAATGGTGGAGGGGCGAAAGCGATCCCCCCACCCGGAGGCACCTCTCCCACAACCTAAGCCTCTGAGGTGGAGGGGGGAACCTTGAGATGGCTCACGGGCTGGTGTTGAGGCTCTCTGTGATAATGCGCCCGGCCAGAGCATGAGGATCCATGCCCGAGAAGAGCTGGTTGAAGAAGCGAGGGTGACCTGGAGAAAGGGAAGCAGGGCAGGCAGCTCAGCATGGAGCTGGTGCTACCCAGAGCCTCCTCCTGCCAGAACCCAGGCCCACCAGTCTTGACACTGTAGCGGATCACAGCACGGCACCGCTCCAGGATCTGCTCCCGCGACTCCCCGCAGCGCCGCAGCTCCAAATCCAGCAGCTGCTTCAGCTCCTCTGGCTCCTTCCACTCGCAGACCTAGCGGGAGAAGTCAGGGATGCTGGGGTCTGTAGCCCCCCAGGACTGCCCAGACCACATCTCAACAGACACCACCCATCACCAGCTTGCACCTGAAACCACTGTTCGGAATGCTTTCAAAGTGGAGGCACACAGTGGGACAGTGACGAGTTCTGGGGAGAAGCCTTATCAAAGGAGGAAAGTTCTGAACCAGGTTTGGAAAGAGAAAAGGAAGGCTTGATGAGCAAGAGGAGAGAGAAGGACCCACCTTCTCAGAGGCATTGGTTCCTTTGCGAATGGCCTCCTCCACAACGATTCCAAACACATCCCGGAGCAGGGCTTCCACAGCCACGGGGTCCTCGTCCAGGGCGGGGAGAGCTTTTGAGTCAGCCATCAGGATAAAGTCTGTGAGCAGAGCAGGAGTCACTCCCTGCCCCGCCTGCGTACCCCACCTCATCTCAATGCAGGAATGGGCCTGGGCCTGGCCCAGCCTCAGCACACACACACCGGTGCAGGGAGAAGGCCAGTGGGAACAGTGTGGGAGGCAGTTGGTGCTCAGCGGGTGGAGCGGAGTGGCCACTGCCCACCTACAGCCAGGGCAGGGACTTACCTTTCAGCTCAGGGCTCTGTTCAGGTGAGTGGGAGGCAAGGTGCACAATTAGCTTTCCAGAATAGTAGGACCAAAATAGCAGAGGGAGTTAGGTAAATGCAGCAGTCACAAGGCCATGAGATAACTCTCATGACCCTTGTCCTAAAGAGCATTTTGACAGATTTGGGATCAGGACAACGGCTGAGATAAGTTCCCTGAATAATCATTAGCTGACAGAAGGGGGAGAACTAGATGAAAGGCGAAACATGGCACGTTAACCTCAGGATCGGAGGAGAGCCAGCCCAGGGGGGATTCCACCGTGAATCCAGGGCCAAAGAGGGATGGGGTTGTCTGGAAGGAAGACAAGGGCAGTGGAATGGGGGGCCTGGGAAACTGTAGCAGCTGACCTTGGAGACTGAGCAGTGAGGCCAAATGGTTTACACAGGCTTCTTTTACACCCCAAGCGCCAGAGTCCTCTCCGAGCTGTCCTGACTTCTAAAGCTCCCCCCTTAGAGCAGGAAGGAAAAGAGTATATGGAGGAAGCCGTTTGTTAAACAAGCTTAATCCTGTGCCTTCCAGCTGGGAGTCGTCACTGAAAGTGAACACCAACAGCATTTGCCACATGGGTGCTGAGGACTGCGAAGGCCCCCTGCCCCTAGGGAGGACCCAGCTGCAGACCAGAGCATGGCTAGATGCTGTGGATGGTGACCTAGGCATTCTCAGCGTGCAGGGAAGGAGACGGAAGAGGCTGAAATTCTGCAGACGGACTGGAGCTGAATCATGAAAGTGGACAGGAGAAAGAAATGGATGAGTGAAAGGGAGAAGAGAGGCCTTCGGGGGGAGTGGAGGGATGCCCTGGGCTTACATCGGGAGTGGGGCTTGTCTTGAGGTTGGTGAAGGCTGCTGGCTAGAGCATGTCAATGAAGGCATGGTGGGCAGAGCAGTGCCAGATTATGGGGAGCCTTGAGTGTCAGCCAGGCCAGGGAATCTAAATTTCATCCCACAGCAAATGGGAAGTCCCTGAAAGCTTTGACGGCAAGGAATAACTTGATGATGAAATGTGGTCTCAGAAGGCCAGACCATGGGAACCAGCAGTTAGCGTAATGGCTATGTCGCTGGACTCCCACGTAGTCGACCGCGATTCACGTCCCGGACCTGGTGGCTTAAAACTCATGCCGGGTGCGTGTGCGTGCCCAAGATCCCGAGAGGAGAATGGAGGAGAAGGGATTGCAGCGTGACCATCCCCTCTGGGGGGTGATTTCTCGCTTTCTGTCTCTATGTCTCTCTCTGCCTGTCTGGCGAGCACACGCGCCCTATAGCGAAAACCTCTTCAAAAAAAGAAAAGAAACAGAAGGCCAGACCAGTGCCTAGAGGCAGTTGGCAGAATGAATAGGATACTGGAGTAATCCAGGCAAGAGGAGACCCACCCTTGAATAAGGGTTGGTTTGGTTGAAAGGGCACATAGAAGAATCTGCAGGCTTGGCCACTCCTAGAGTATAGAAAATTCAACATTTGTGGAATCTACAATATATTGGAGGAGAAGAAAGAATCAAAGATGGGGCCAGTCCATGGAGTGGTGGTTAAGGCAGTTGGATCTCACATGGCCAAACACACAGTTCCTGTCCTAGATCTGGCAACTTGAGAAACACGTCAGGCACATGTGCATGTGTGCCTAAAACCCTGAAAGGAGGAGATGAGGAGAGGGTATTGCAGCATTACCATCCCCCATGAGGAGTTCTCTGTCTCTTTCTCTCTCCCTTGTGTATATGCCCTCTGGTTAAAACAAAAAAAAAAAAATCAATGATGACCCTAGGTTTCATGGCTCAGTGACTGGAAAAATAATGGTACCCTAAGATAAACAGGGATGCGGAAAGGGGAAACTGGATAAAAAAGAAATTATTTCCTGGAAATACTTGTCCATCCCTGATCTCCTGGGGCTATAGATGCTCACAGGAGAGGAGGTGAGCTCAGGAATGAAAAGCAGACACAGGGCACATCTGGAGCTTGTGATGGCTGTTTCCCCAGGGAGAGAATGTTCGGAGAGATGGATGGGGAGAGGGCTCTTCCTAACATGCACCCTATAGCAAATTTTAAAGAAAGAAAAAGAAGGAAGGAAGGAAGGAAGGAAGGAAGGAAGGAAGGAAGGAAGAAAGGGAAAAGAAAAAAAAGAAAAGAAAAGAAAAGAAAAGAAAAGAAAAGAAAAGAAAAGGGAGGAAAGAAAGGCAGGCATTTGGTGGAAGCAGAAAAATGCAGGAAGAAAAATAAAGTCTCAAAAATGAAAGAAGCATTGCATCCATGGTGAAAACAAACAAAAAATAGGTTGGCCCAGCTTGGTGGCACAGTTCATAGCATACTGGACTGCAGTGCTGGAAGCCACATGGCCAACCACAGGTTCAGATTCCTGGTCAGGCTGAAAACATGCCAGGCATGTGCACAGGCACCAAAAATATCCTGAGGCACTAGGAGACTAGGGAAAGGGGACTGCAATGTGACAAGACCCTGTCAAGAACTGTTTTGTGTTTGGGGTTTTTTTTTTTTGGGGGGGGACCAGTAATAGTTATTTTGCTGGACTCCCTCGTGGTCGATTGCTGTTTGAGTCCTGGACCTGGCAACTTAAAACTCATGCCAGGCATGTGTGCATGCATGCCCAAGATGCCAAGAGGAGAATGGAGAAGAGATTGTGGCCTGGGCAACCCCCTGGGGGATGACTTCTCACTTTCTGTCTGTCTCTGGTGAGAGCATGTGCCCTATAGCAAAAATCTCTCAAAAAAATTTTTTTCTTTTCTTCTTTCTCTCTCCCTCATGGGCACACATTATCATTAAAGAAAGGAAGAAAGAGAAAGAAAGGGAAAAAAGAAAAGAGGTGGCTCAGAGAACAAGAAGTAACTCTAGTTTTAAAAAGATGGCAATGGAGTCAGTAGGTGGCATGGTGGCTAAGGTGCTGGACTCCCACATGTCCAACCAGGGTTCAAGTCCTGGACCTGGAGGCTTGCTTTCTCACTCTCTCTTTCTCTCTGTCTGTTTCTCTCTCTGGACAAAACTGAAGAATAATGATAATAAATAAAACTGAAAGTAAATAAATCTTTTTAAAAAAGAGATGACAACTAGGGATAACTGGTGACATAGTGCTTGGGGTGTCTTGACCTCACTTGGCCAACAATGTGGTTTGGATCCTGGACCCAGTGGCTTGAAAGACACATATGCATCCGTGGCCAAAATCCTGAGAAGAGAATGAGATTGTGGCATGGCCATCCCCCCAGAGGGTGCTTTCCACTTTCTCTCGCCAGCAAGCATTTTTGCCCTACAGCAAAGCAACAATTTTTAAAAAAAATATATCAACCAGAACAGCAGGTGGTGTGGTGGTTAAGGTGCTAGACACTCCCACATGGCCGACCATGGTTTGAGTCCTGGACCTGGTGGTTTACTTTCTCTCTCTCTCTTTCTGTGTCTCTCTCTGGTCAAATTAAAATAAATAAATTAATAAGTAAAATTAAATAAAAAATTCCTAAAAAAAAAAAAAAGACGACAACTGAGGGACCCACAGAAGGCATAATAGTTATGTTGCTGGACTCCCATGTAGTCAACCATGGTTTGAGTCCTGAACCCGGCATCTTAAAACTCACGCCAGGCATGTGTGCATGTGCGTCCAAAATCCCAAGAGGAGAATGGAAGAGAAGGGATTGCATCATGGACAACCTTCCTGGGGGTGGGGGGTGATTTCTCGCTTTCTGTCTCTCTGTCTCTCCAGTGAGTGCATGTGCCCTATTGCAATAATCTCTCCCCCGCAAAAAAGAAAAAAAAAATACAACTGAAATGAAAAAATTACAAAGAAAACTTATAAAATCAAGCCAAGAAAATCACACATAAACATAAAAATATAGAGAGAAAATAAAAGATACAAATTTTAGAAGATCAATGAAAAAAACTCAATATCAAACTAAGAAGTTTTAAAATGAGAGAAGGAAAAAAAAAGAAGAAAAGAAGTTACCAAAGAAAATTTTACAGAAAGATAAATTAAAAGTATCTACTAAATGACCAACATGAAGGTAGATGATACTGATTCAGAACAATGGAAGATCCAAAGATTCCCAGAGACAAAACAATGAACCAAAATGAGATCCAGACAAAGGACAGAGAGGGAATCCAGCTTCTCCAACCCAGAGAGAGGTAGAGGGAGTCCCCAAGGCTGCAATGAAGGCAGTACGTGCCCTCCGAGGAGCAGGGTAGTGATGGTGCTCACGCGGACACGTGATGCTTCTCTTTTCCTTCTTTTTATTTTTTTTAAGAATTATTTTATTCAACTTTATTCATTTATTTATTTGTTTGTTTATTACTTATTTTAATTTGACCAGAGAGGGACACAGCGAGAGAGAGAGAGAGAGAGAGAGAGAAAGTGAGAAAGCAAGCCGCCAGGTCTGGGATTTGAACCTCAGTCAACTATGTGGTAATCCAGTGTCCTAAACCACCACACCACCTGCCTACTGGCCCGGCAATGTTTTTCAGACAAGAGCTGTTAGCTCCAATCCTCTGTAGCAACTATTTAAAAAGTTTTCCACACCTCTGAAATTATTGATCATCTATCTTCTCTCTTCCTCCCTGTCTTATTTTGAATTTCTTCGAGAAAATAAAAGCCATAAAAACTTAAATTTAACTTCTGGGGCCAGCAGGTGGTGTGGTGGTTAAAGGCTCCCACATGACTGCCTGTAGTTCAAGTCATGGATCTAGCAGCTTCTTTTCTTGCTTTCCCTTTCTCTCTCTCTGCTCATGTTAAAAAATAATAATAACATTGGGGCCAGCAGGTGGTGTGGCGGTTAAG